ATAAGATATATTAACCAATAGGTAGTTAACCAGCGGTCAATTTTTCGACTAGTGACATTCGAAATTTGTTCAGGCTCTATCTCTCTCCCCAGATGTGGAATTCGGTTTATTTTTTTTCGAAAATAAAGTTTAAAATTTGTACTTTCGTCGGATCGAGCAGCGAATAAAAACAGAAATTTCAGAAAAAAATTCCCACAAGAAATACCCACAAATTTGTACTGAATTTCCAATTTTTGATCGCTGTTTGAGAAGAATGGGAGGCACATCTCACGATTTGTGAAGTCTACTGTTATTTTCAGACCAAAATTGATAATATTTGAAAGTATCACGCAATTTAAAAACAAAATAAGAATCCTGGTTAATGGGTTATTAAAATTTTATTGTTCGCACAACTGTAAATCTATGAAATCCAACAAAGTGGAGCATACGATTCAATGAGTGCGTTTGAGAGGAGATTAAATTCAACTGACTTTGATTGAAGAAAAAAAACGAATGTTGATTTCGTGAAGTTTAAAATCTATTGAAAGAAAGTTTACATTTCAAACAGGCTAATTCGTAGAAAAGTTGTGTGTTTCACGTGTACTCTATCGTGATTCCTGAATTACTGATAAATTGGAGGTCAGTACAGTTTTGCTAGAAAAAAATAATAATTTGCTACTCTTTCGCGTAAAATGAATATTATGAACATGCTCTTCATCTACGTTTGATCGAAGATGTTTCACAAATAAAAAAAAAACAACTTATTCCTCTTGATTTGCCTTATGAAATTGAAATGGGCCTCCCAAATTTAAGTGATACCGTTCATGAAGTGAATACAAACATATTATTACTAATGGCTAAAAATACTCATTCCGAAAGATTAAAAGAGTTATCGGGCAAATCGTTTAAGAATCTTTAATTGGATTTTTTTTTTCTAATTTTTGGCCTGTATATAGCGAATATACAGACGAAATCTACTTAAAATCACATTCAAACACGTCCGAAGAACTCATTTCAGCGTGAATATGGAAAATGGAAACAGCATCAATCTTGTGCAAAAAACGAGATGGTCGAAACACTGAAAATAAAATTTTAATGAATCAATGTGTGGAAACTTTTTTAATCGACATGATACCTCTATCATTTGAAAAAGTTTTCACTGAATCAAAATGGAAAAGATAAATTGATAAATTTGAGGTTGTTTGCTTAATTTGGTGCGTGCGATACGTGACATTGACTGAATGGAATTGACGCGCGAAGGTAAATTTACGGCCAGTGTGTGCGTTGTTCGTTTCAAGGAAAAGATCAAAAGTACGCTTGTTAGAATTTAGTCAATTTCTAAAGAATTCATTTGATTTTTGCTTAACACACATTCAATCAATTTAATGTCAATTATCCACCCACTGCTACTTTCCGTGCAATTTTCTTTTCATTTCGGAGTACAAGACATTTGCCAACACAGCGCAATAATGATGAAACGGGTCTGCCGGATGAATCAAGTGATTTTCTCCTGTATTTTGTCTGCGCGCACACCGTAAGATTTTCGTCATATTTGAATTGGCAAATAAGGACAGTAATCAAGAAAAGTGAAAAACGTGCGGGTGAGCGAATTGCAAAAAAAGACCCATAGAATTTAGATGCGGAGAAATATCCTCTGTGGCGGAGCTGTGTGCAGAGAAAGCAGTGTAGAACATTTTACTATTTTCTGTCTCCACGCTCCATTGCTAAGTTCGTATTATATGCATTACAGTGTGTATTGGAACGACACCAGTATAATGTGCTGCACCGCTCTCTCCGCACACAGCTCCGCCGCAGAGGATATTTATCCGCATAGCAAATATATGAGGACCCAGCAAAGGAATCAAGATAGATATTTCAATGAAATTGAAATGTATAAGGAGCTTCGTGTTGATGTCGCGCATTCAGGCAATTGCTCAAGTGTATACTTTAGATTAGGGCATCCAACGACCGATTACTGCTTTCATTTTATCTTTTTCCTACTCTCACTTCTAGCTGCTCCATACAGACGTTGTCGTATACAGCATGGTTAGCAGCTCAAATTATATATTGAAAAACATTGATTTTCGTTCCTTTCGGTATCGCATTTATTCGATGTCTCGATTCTTTTGCCAGCTTTTTCTTGGCTTGACAAAGCCATTTACTCTTGACTCCTTTAATTTCTTAACTTATTGACGACCTATTATCCCTTTTTATCGTTTGAGAATTGTGAGAAACAATTTCGTACGAGCACGAGGTAAATTCACTTCACTTTTCGTCTAATATGTATAGTATTACACATCACATCACATCGGATGTGCTGAATAAAATTAGGATGAGTGACATTCTTTTTCCCAGTCTCCTTTTAACATAATCTTTCCTTTCAATTCCAGCCAATATCGGTAGTATATTTAATTTAATATGGCATTTTACAGTTTTTACAGTAGTCACGACAAAAAGCGAGCAATAACAATTCGAAACCAAACCAAACAAAACACTCGAACGAATTTGGGATTTCGTCGAGAAAATGGTTCATATAAATAGCTACTGTTTACTTTTCAACATCCGATGGCTGTCAATAGCTCATACCAATTTGTAGAAAATTAGTGAACAAAGAGTCAATCATCTAACGTCATACGGACGTAACAAGGGGGATAAAGGAGCATCCGAAACAAAAAACCAAGAAGATGAATGCCGTTCATTTCAATGACTTTCATTGATTCGTTTGTTACAAGAGTTCAAGTGTATTGTGGCTAATTCGAATGTGGTTTGTTCGTTGACTTATTTCCATCAATATAGATATATGGCGTATGATGCATGGAAGGAACAAAGCCAGGGCACCAGAGGCGATAATATGTTGTGAATTAAAATCATTGAATTGGACGAACCACAGTAATGATGAGCACACGGACGAAGGTACACACTGAAAATGATGCTTATAAACCAGCACGGCTCACAGCTCCGTTCAATTCAACGCGATTCAACGAGAGTATGATGTCATGTCCTGTCCTACAATGCTTACGTCAAATGCAGAGTGTGCGATTGAGTGAGTGAGTGAGATTGCGTGAAAGAGAGAGAGAGAGAGAGAGAGAGAGAGAGAGAGAGAAAGAGAAAAAAATGAAGCGCATTGAAACGAAAAAGTTGGCTTAAGATTTTGTTACGAATAAATTGCGGATAATTGACATATTGTTCGATATTTCCAGTCTCGTGTCGAGCGACCACAGTGATCAACGACAATAACAATTTCCATTGCACACTCTGTTATTATGTAAAGACCGATTTGACTTGTTGTTGTTACCGCTCCGACGAAGAATTACCGTGTGTCGTGCATGAGGGCGAGATGTTCAGTGAATTAGGCGTAAAAAATTGGAGGGTTGGAGGAGAAAAAATAAACGTCTTTCCCGAAAGTAGACATCGTCGCACGTCATACGGATACGTTTGCTCTGCTCAAAACTTGTGAGTGTCATACAACAAGTCCCTCCAAAGAATATGCAGTTAATAAATAACCATTGTCGAACGATCTCGCCTACAGCTTTATGTATCAGCTACAAGATAGTTACGCATTGTTACGGATGACTGAAACGAAGTTTGATTTGATATTCACATGGAAATTTTAACAATTCATTTTCATATTTCAGTGGAAACAACGCTTGCAAAATGAAAAAAATACACGATTTGTTTCAAATGAATTTTAAACTTATGGTTCCATTCAGAACTTTATTACCTCTTATTTTTTTACACTTTTGAATTTCTAGGAATTTATTTTGATTCTTTTTTCCATATTTAACTCTAACCTGCTCTAACCATTTTTAAATCTTTAACTCCATTCATTTCAAGGGATGAATCTATGTGAAACATACGTTCTCAAAATTCCGTATTCTGGGGGATTGGTTTTCTTTTTCTACAACTATAGTTCTCAGACTCGAATCTATAATTTGAATATGAATTGTGTCGCTGAGCATAAAAATGGGGATTCAGATCTATTATAGCAAGAACCGGACGTGAAAAAATTGTTTCTTAAAAACGCAACATGAATCTCCAATCAACGAGAATGTAACATGAACTAAGGTTGCTACAGTGTTCTTATGATGCGCTTTAGAGTGGTGCGAATTCATGTTGCATTTTTAAGAATCAACTTTTTCATGTTACGTTCTTTGAGATATTGCTTCTTTGTTATATTCTTTCGATTGTTCTGTTGATGTTGCATTTTTCAGTTTGATTTTATTCATTCATTATTATTTAGCATTTGCATGAAGACATTCATTTAAATTGAATTTCATCAAAGTGATTTCGAGACACAAAATACGGTATTAGAATCGAAACAAATTTCAACTTTGTTTTCGATTTTCGGCTGTGTTGCGACCGTCTACATGGGAAGTTTGCATGAAAATTTGTCTTATATGGCAAATCTAGATGGACAAATTTTAAATATCGGCAATCACAATAAAACTCACCATTTGTACGATCAGCGGCTCCGAATAATTCAATGTATTAAGATTTTGGAAAAAGTAGAGAATTTTTGCATGATTGGTTAAAAATAATAATTTCTTTCGAATAATTGCATCAGGAGTTCATACTTGTCAGCACTAGAAAGAGGACGTAATCGAGCTCCGCTAAGTGATTATGTCATTCAACTCTTTTGCATTGAGTTGTATCCTGTGCGTTCATGCTAATGCCGTACAATATGCGGAGCTCGATTACGTTCTCTCTCTCTCTCTCTCTCTAGTGCTGACAAGTATGAATTCCTGATGCAATTATTCGAAAGAAATTAATATTTTTAACCATTTATGCAAACATACTCTGCTTTTTCCAAAAGCAATCTGTTGAATTGAAATATTCGGAGCCGTCAATTGTACAAGTGATGAGTTTTATTGATTATGCTTGCCCAATACATAAAATTTGGCCATGTGTAGATTTTCCATATAAGACAATATTTATTTTTAGTTTATCATACAAACTTCCCATGTAGACGGTCCAACCCAGCCGAAAATCGAAAACAAAGTTGAAATGTCAATTTTAATACAGCATTTTGTGTGCCCAATCCATTGGTGTTATCGGCACATCGAAATCACTTTGATAAATGAATAAATTTTTTAAGAAACAATTTTTTTTTTCACGTCCGGTTCTTGCTATAACAGATCTGTATTCCCATTTTTATGCTTAGCGTTACAATTTCTCTTATTTGTAATGTTCTTTGGATGATCAATGTGACAATTGTTTTATGTAAAGTTTTAATCGACTTCAATATTATCTTCGTCTGGTTGATCCCGCATTTTTTCCTCATTCGACACAGATCTGGAACGACATGAACTTTCCATACGAAAATCCACCACGGATTTGCTCAAATGATTGTTGAATGTGGCATTTTGGATTGTTGATGAGAAGTTAATAGGAGACGATGAATTCTCAGGCGATGTCGTACCACGTCGAACATTTGATTTCATTTCACTATCGTTGATGGTTGATGAAAAATTATGCCCTTTTGATCCGTTCGGTGGATAAAAATATGGAAATGGAACATGCATCGGCACTCCATAAGCCAATTGAATCTGGTAAATGAAAAATACATGAGTTTCGAAAATTTATTTTTATATTCATCGAATTATCGTTTGCTTGGCACTATTTAAAATTTATAATATCCAGCAACTATTCCGTTTATTGAAATAAATGTGAAAATTTATGATTTGCAACTTACTTGATGACGATACATGTTCAAAAGGGTTGGATGGTCAATGTTATGTCCATAGTGGGCTGCGGCTGCAGCAAGAGCAACAGCAGTTGTATTCGATGATCCGTTGCTGACCGCTGTCGATGGTGTGCCATTCGATGGCATAAGCATGTGACCATAGGATCCATCTTCGCGTACCAAAATCTGAACGGGAACCCGTTTTGTCGCATTCAAAACCGTCACTTCATGCTGTTGAATTTGTTTTCGTTTGGTTTTATAGCGTCTATTTTGAAACCAAATTTTAACCTGTGTTTCTGTTAGTCGAAGATTTTTTGCGAGATCAGATCGTTCAGGCCCGGATAAGTAGCGCTGTTGTGCAAATCGACGCTCTAATTCAAACACCTGAGCGTGGCTAAAAGCGGCGCGTGATCGCTTTTTACGCTTTAATGTTAATGTGTCGTCCCCGAGTGATGGTGATCGTCGCAGTGTTTTATTGTTGGAATGTGCCTCGTATGATGAATTTGTTTTCGTCGGTGGAAGTGAGTCACAATCTAAATCAACCAATTAAAAAAAAAAAACAATTTTTTTAATGGATTCGTTTTCCTTTAGGTGCATTGAATTTGTACCATTCACTATTATCATTTCAACTGACGTGAATAACAATGGAGTTTTTTTTTCTTTCTGACCAATTCTTTTGTTATCTTTGTTAGAAAATTCACAATTTTGTCATGCAAATCAAAAGGAGAAGGAAAAAAAGTTACTCAAAACTATTAACTAATTGACGATTGACACGTGTCCTTTGGCATGCATTACGAATACTTTCTTTCACCGATGGCACTGAACAATGTAAATACCCTTTGGATTGAATTGTTGCCATGGATTCTAATCAATGAAAAATTGGTTTTCGCTTTGAACACATTGAATAATGAAAAATTTCAATCGTTTCTCACCTGAATCGTCACCATCGGCACACCGTCTCATGTCTAATGGTCGCTCGAACATCAATGGAAAATTGTAATATTTTATGGATTTCTTTTCAGAACTAGAGTCCCGTTTGGATTTCACATCGTTTGCACTATGAGTTTTACCACCATTATTGTTGTTGAATAAGTAATTTTGAGCAGAATGACGTAGAGATGATTGATCAATATTTCCATCGTGTTCATAATTATGCGCCGAATATTTGAAGAATCTCATTGAGTTGACGAGATGTTGTGGGAGCTCATCCGACGGCTCGTCACATTCACTTTCATGCATGGATTTACGATCGATTGGAGACAAATGCCCCGAAGAACTACAGCGACGAAATATTGTCGTATTGTTTTTTGTCAAAATATCATTTATTGAAAACGGAGTTGATTTTAATGTCGACGTTAAACTTCGTTCCATATTCAAAAGTTCGCCAAATCTTGCGTGCAAATTGTTTGAATGTTCTCTGATTTTACAATTTTATGTTGAAAACTTTACGTTTTGAACTTAGTTCTTTTTTTTTTTTTTTTTCTCAAAACGATTCACCAACGAAATTCAGCACGAAAAATTCACTTGAATGTATATAATATTAGTTTCAACTAACTAGATTTAAATAATCGATTAGTTTACAAAATCACAAAAACAACGGTAAAAAAATGATTCAACTCAAACTCTAATCGACCGAACGGTTTGCCGTTCCGAAATGAAATAACTGAAAAGCCATGAAGCAGCCCGTTTTTGTTATGTTTCAGCAGCAGCGCGCGCAATTTATGAGTGAGGAAGAAAAGAATTACGAACATGAACTGGCATATGTACACTCAGACGCATGTAATAGCTAACGAATATAACGTAATCATTGGCCCTTACATTAATATTTAATGTTTCCGTATTGCGAGCCGCATACGATACTCAATATATGTATACACACCCGCACACAAAATAAAAATAGTCAAGAAGCCAAGCGTAGGCCGTAAGACGTTAGGTATTCACCTACTTTTGGTTTCGATGTATAATTTTGCGCACATGCAGAAGTTTTGGTTTATTTGTGTGTGTGTGTGTGTGTACGTGTGTGCCGTGCACAATTCAATTTTATCTTTTGAATGATTCACATATACAAGCACTCTGACTTCGAGTTTGGTCTATCACACACGCTGCACGTCGTGCGGTTGTCGAGTATAAAGTCGAGGGGAAAAATCTAAGAACGATAAAGTGAAGGTTAATACGTTCAAAGAAATCTGCTTTCTTATTGGGTGTTGCCGTTTTCTTTATGCTTGTTTTTGATTGGTGATTGGTCAAATGACGCATATACTTACGTAGACCCCTAACATTGTTGCATAGTTGGGCTTCTGAATACAGTCAATTTATTTGGTTGAGACTCTTATGTTACAAAAGCATGTCGCAATACATTTTCTCCCCAGAAGTGGAAAAGACGGAAAATTACTCGATTTCAATTATATTGCACTGTTTAACCGTATATACGGAAAGTCAAAATTGTCGCTCATTTCGCACTTAAACGAAATGAGAATGTAAGTGAATTACGGTCAAGACAACCACATACTTCATATACTTAATGAATAACGCGAAAAATGTGCGACGGACATAAAAAATAGATTCACACACTCAAATATTCTTTTGTCACAATAATCTTAGCATTTGAACACAAAAGAGCCAAATTTTAATTCGATTGCTTATTTTTTTATCAATTATCGCACACATTTGATTCCAGTAACACTCAGACGAAACGCCTTCAAAATCATAATGTATATTCATTTACAGCATGTGTCTCGCGCGCGCTTCCCCCATGCAACCTGAATATGATACAATTGTTATTCATGTAACATAATAAGGAGAAAATGAAAATAATACTGGCAAAATCACTGAAGTAAACGTAATAGGGTTACAAAAGATCTGCTGGAGTCAAACAGCGACACGAAGTGCTCATGTAAAGAGAGTTCTACAGTATTATTGCATATAAAACAGAGAGTATTTTTAGAGTTCATCATCAGCTTCATGTTAGCTGAGAATTTAAGAACTCATTTCCATCGCAATCGCAACTGATTTCTCGAATGGATTGAGAATGGGCGTGAGAATAAAGCAAAATACTGGTTGTTTGAATTGAAAATTCTAATGAGCTGTGAATATTTTTGTGGCAATTCTACTCACAAATTGAAAATTAAAATTTATTATTCATGTGACAACATGTTGTCATTATTGCAATAATTAAATATTTCCAGACTCATTAATAGCGGCCAAAAACAAATGAACTGAATCGTTTCAAATTAAGATCGGAAAAGAAACAATTAATTTATATAAACAAAAAAAGATTGTTATGATTTCGATTTATTGTTTGCGTTGGATTTTTGTTGTTTCTCAACAATTTTCGACGATCTTGGTTTCTTCAGATTTTCATTGAACTGTAATTTTCCAATGTAGCCGATAGAATTTGAACGGAATAGCTGAGCATGGAAAATATTCTAAAATAAAGCGCATTTTAATTTGATCAGAAATTGCGCTCCAAGTAAAAGTTTTGAGCATTCAGTCAATTCAAAATACATTTCAACAAAAATGTTCTTCAAAACGTTTCAAATGTTTCGGCGTTCATACACGTTGGAAGCTTTTACGGCGAAGTTGCCTGTAGATGGAGCAATGAAGCTCACACGTTCACAGTCTCATAAGAACAGAAGCAAGGCGGAAAATTTTGAAGAAGTGGGCGGTCCATAATCAACTAGCCATTTTTATTTTTTATTCGCTTTATATCATAGATATTTTATCTATAAATGAAAAATAACACCAAAAGTAAATTTCAGACAAAGAATGAATAATATTTGGAATTGTTTTGAAACGAAAAAAAAAAATGCATTTTTACCTAAAGATTAAAATATAAATATCAACTGAAGATCATGCGGACATAGTACAACAGCCGTGCTTTCTTATCTATATTCGAATCCATTGGTTGCATATGTTTGGCCGTATGGTATAACGATGTTCATGAAATAGTGGGAGAAGAAGTTAACAAAAACAAACGAATGATCGAAAACAAAGTGCACAGGAATATGTTTGGTGTTCAGTCGTTCGTGAAGCCTGCTTCGGAGTGGTCGATATAATTCGCTTTAATTTTGTTTTATTATTTACAAACTTGAGAAAATTACTGAATCGCATTTACAAGTTTAGTTTCAATTGACGCCATGAGTGTTGCAAATCTTACCAGTTCTACTTTCTAAGTGCCAATGATCACCTCATAGTAAGCGATTTGCATTTGAACTATTTTCGAAGATTTTTCAAGTGAATCCGGTGTATGAAAAAGTTTTATGTATATTAAAAGTCAAAAAATTACATTCGAAAACCAAAAGTCAATCCACTCGTGAATAGCTAGCATTGTGAATACTAATTGATATTGTGCCATTTTTTTTAATTCTCACAAAAATCCAAAGTGCTCTACCCAAAGTGATATAACAAGATGCCGCAACAGTATCATTCATTATCCGATGCAATGTATACCGACTACAGACAGCCACCACCACCACCCTCTTATCAGGAAAATTATCAAATGATGTACCCACATTCCAATTTCCAACACTATCGTTCGGCGTTAACATCGTCTGGTGCAAATGATTTAGGATACGAATACAGTCAACAGTATTATTCTCCAATTCCATCGACAAACTCATTCGGAATGTTGAGCAGTTTTAATGGCAGTGGCAGTGCATTCTCCAGCAACTTTCATGCGTCACCTTATTCGACCAATTTTCATGCACCACCGTATCCAATCTATGATAATCTTTCCACTTCGCCTACAAATACTCTCAACACGAAAATCGATCTACAACCAGCGCAAAATGGTTCCATCGAAAGTAATTTGATCAGAAATAGCCCCGTCGAGAGTAGCGATCGATCGGAAAGTAGCATCAGCTCGAAATTGGAAGTTTGTTCCAAAAGCGACGAAACATTGACTGAATTATCAGAGAATATTGACAATTCGGAACAGGCTTCGATCAACACCGTGTATCAAACGTACAACGAGGAAAATATTTCGAGTAAGTTTAACATTATCGATTGATAGTTGATTAACAATTTGATTCTTCTCAAAATTTCTTAATCGCATACGAAGTGAAGTTACTTAGAGTGTTCAATATGATTTGGAATTTGTGCGAATGCTCTAAGTTTCGCTTTGAATTGTGCAAAAAAATCCAAATGTCTGAAGGCATCAAAATCAATAAATAATTTTAATAAGTCTCTTCTGCTATTAAACAGATTCATCGAATCAACAAATCGTATCGTCGTCCCACAGTGAGCTACGGAAAAATGGAAAAATTCGCTGCAAACGTAAACCACGTGTGCTGTTTTCACAATCACAGGTGCTGGAATTGGAGAGACGCTTTCGGCAACAACGTTATGTATCATCACAAGATCGTGAAATTCTTGCACAATCGCTGAACCTAACGGCTACACAAGTGAAAATTTGGTTTCAGAATCGTCGATACAAATCGAAGCGTGTTCAAATTGAAACCAACAATAATTTCAACAAAAACCACAATAAGAGTAGCACAATAACTAGCCCATTTAAGATTGTTGAGACGACACCAAGTGAAAATGATTCCATCCATTTGGATGAGCTGGAGGGCCCACAGCGGAAAAGCAAGCAAAAAGATCAACCATTACTGAATCAGTGTGATGATGATCATGTAACCAAATCCAATAATTTTGAGATATTGAATCCCATGTCATCGTCAAAGATTGATACTGATGTCCATGAACCGTTTTACGCAAACCGAAGCACCGTTGTGTCACCACCGTATTCATCAAATCTGTACAATGCGACCGGAGGCATATATCCGATAAATCAACAGCCATACGATCAATACAATAACATAACGCCAGCATCCAGTTCATTCAACTGCTATGATAAAATGTCCTATTGGTAACGATGTGAAACGATTATCAGACACAGAGACAAAGCACACCAAAGTCATTACTGCAATATCAAAATAAAAATATTAAGATTGAATCTAGTGCTAAAACCAAAATCGATTTCATCAATGACAACAGCTCATATTCTTGAATAAAATTAGGCTTAGATTAATGTTCTCTAATGCGCAAATCTCCTTTTATTTCCTTGTCATAATTTACCGGGTGAAATATTACAAATTTCGTACCGCTTGAAAAGATGTGAGCATAGGATTTGTATTTGCAATCGAATTTTGTCAAATATTTTTGTAAACGGAAACTTATAGGAACATTTTGTACACAAGATCATTTATTTTGGCGGTAAATAAATTTATTAATTTCAAATAGAAAAAAAAAAAACTTCAACCGTGTTTTGAAACATTTTTTTAAATCATGAATTTTGGACATAACGATTTCCTGGATGTAATCCTAATTAGGACTGCACACGATAAAGTCGATATTGGTTGACGATTAATGGTTGACTCAAATTCATGCTCGATCGTAGCGCGCGTGAGAGGACCATTGCCGACAATGATATACAAAATATTATTTAAATAAACCAGACACACGTTACGGTTTGAATTGGAAAAATCTAAAAGGGCATCTGTTTTTCATCGCAGTTCAGACAGCTACATTTGATAACCCAAAAATGTAAAACGAGCACAAAAACACAATTTATTCAAAATATCGCAAACGCGTTTCAATTAATGCTACCAAAAGCAATTTATTTTCTCTGGGTGTCTCTTCTTAACTACGGCATAAGAAAAAATACATTTTTTTTTATTTTCACTTATGCATATATTTGATTTGTCTGCGCACGCTATGAAGTAAACTGCCTGCTTTTCGAACATGAAAATTTGTATTCAAAAAATGCCGTACCAACTAAGCAAGCATCAATGATAGTTATTCATAACTTATTTCGTTCGTCTAGCCTTGTTTTAGCATAAACACTTATAAATCGTGTATCTAGTTCACTGATCATAAGTGACACACGCACAGTCACATGCACTGAACGGGTTCACATCGAACAGACCCAAGTACTTTTCTTTTTGTTTTTTTTTTTTTTTTTATTAATTCTTGAATGAAAATAGTTTCAATACAGTTCAAATTTCATAGCGGAACAATTTCAGTTCACTCCCTCAGCATTATGACGGCCTGTGTGCGTTTTCTCTTTGTGTATGTTCTTTTTTCTCTTCTTCTTTGTAAAAACATATCATGTAATTGCCATTGCTCAACTTCAAAATTGATATTTAATGGATTTGAATTTTAAAAGAATAGCTGGGAATTAAAAGGCTGTTGAGATAAAGAACGGCACAGAATCCGTCAGTTGGCGGCAAAAATTGAAATGAAATCAAGCGAACGGCAAACGAATTATCCATCAATCTCTGTTTATTGTTATCCAATGTTTTGGATTATTTCAAATGGAAAATTGGAAATTGAAAAATTGACGCGTTGTGTCTAACTTGCTACGAAGCGATCGGATTGATTCGGCGTTGAGCCGTGCGTTTCACATATATGACAAATATTTAGCTGTAAATTATTGTATGCATGCGCGCCCAGACAAAATATGAACTCTTTGATAGATGCCGTGATAATAAATTGAAGTCCTTAAATATTTGGCAGAAAACAAGTTGACATCGTTGCTCGTTCTTCTTTTTCAATATGCCGAAAGATACATTTTTTCTTCAACTTTGAAAACTTTACAAGTGGAATACGCGATCGGTATACTGTTTCAATTTTTTTTTTTTTTTCAAATGAAAATGCTCAGACTCCCAACATAAATTGATACAAAAGAAAACGGGAGAAAAAACGGCTCAAACATTTACGCTCTTTCGTTAGTTATATTTCGTCGGCGACACACTTCTTTCAGTGCATTTTCTTTTTCGTTTCTATCGTTTGTTGGGTGCTGAAAACCACTGGCGCGGCCACGTTCTTTTCTGTCATGCTTTCTCTCTGATATTGTGTTCTCCTAATGCAATTTCCTGCGGAGTCAGTTTGAATATTCAGTTTGACTACCGCGCTAATGCACAGTTCAACAATAAATGGTACCGATTTCGAACGATGTACCGTCTCTTACTCTGCGCATAATTCATTCTCTCTTCTTTTTTTTTCTTATTCAATTCAGTAAAATAACTTCCATAAGCCAGAAAATATGACTTAATGCATTTTGGTGGTTTGCCCATGATTTCGTCACAGTATTCTAAATACTGAGCAACGTGACCATTGAAAAGGGTTTCCCATTTTCCTGTCATTTCAATGACTTGATTATTTATATGCATTATGACTTGGATCGAGCAAAAACTTACCGTAATAAAACTTAACACTGTTTGCATCTTTCATTTATCTTATCTATAGAAATGGATATGAATATCCATAGAAAATTTTGGAATAAGGCACAATTTGGCTAAGTAATCGGTAAAATGATTTTCCGAAGCGTGGGAATTTCATACATATCAACATGATAATTTCTGACGAATTCATTCATTTTTATTGAACGACGTTGTAACAACGTTGAAATCTCGCATCGAAATGTTTTCGTTGCCTTAAAACTGTTCAGATGAACGGGCACGCACATGCATCACTACGAAGAGGAAATGCAATCAACAAACAGTGCCGATACAAATGAAGAACATTGTTGGCGCCTGCGACCTAGAAAAAAAAAAAGAGAGAATAAAATAAAGACAAATAAATTAAAATTGCATCATGTACGAAACGTATTTCATTTAGCGTGGCTAACGGCATTATGGCGCTCTCTGTCTCAACCAGGATAGATCAATTTGTAAGCTATTGAATGCACGCATGTTTGCATAATTCACTGGCGTTGACATTTTAAAGGGACCAAATGTGAAACATATTTTACAAAGAAAAGTAGCAAAATTGTTTACGAAAAAACAAAAACAACATCAGCCAACAAATTGAAAAACGTAGAGTCATGCAGAGAGATGAGCAAGGATTTTTTTTGAGGGAAAATAAGGCAGAGAACACGATTTTCATCATTTGTATCTGTTTGCCATAAGAATAAAACCGGACGAAGCAAGAGGAAAATAACATCGATGACACATGTAGACAGTAACATCTGAACATATTTTTTCGTTTCAACTTTTTATCAACCCCGGCGTGATTTTTTTTTTCTCTCTTTTGATGCATTGCATTTATTTACAAAAAAAAAGAGAACTTGAATCACATTTCACAAAACTTTACATACCCTTGCCGTGGATTTGTCAAGCATTTTTGGTTGACTTTGATTACTCCAGCCAATGTTACATATCAATCACACAGAAGCTTCAGATTTTATTGAACGTTGTCATTTTCTGGGCCGAAATCACGCTTCCGAATGACAGACATTTGTGTAAACAAGCATTCAGTCTTCATTTTACAGAAGAACAAAAAAATTGAAGAAAAAAAACATGAATACTTATTGTGATTTTCGGCTACCACGGATGGCAACAATAAACCTAAACGAAGTAAGGATTTGTACATTTTCAATTCACATGCTTGATTGATTAAATTAATTCGTACTTTTCTTATATACGAATAAAATGTTAAAATCAAATTGGAATCTATTTATAGAATATTCGGTCTGTGACGGTGAAATTAATAATGATCTGATTATCTGATTATACCTATCTGCTATTAAAATCATTACAGTCTCGCAATCGCGATGAACAGGAATTATTGAACTTCATTGTAATATAAGCAACATTCGAACTGAGATTTAAATGACATTTCATTTATTTACTCTGATCTATTTGCTTTTTTAAATGTTGTAGGAATGGCAAATGTTCTGGTTTTTAATTTCAAAGAAGAAAAAAACGAATTTTCCTTGAAAATAATAGGTGTCAATCCTCTACAATCAACTGATTTATGTCAACATTGAGTGAGACGCTAAAGATGAATTTACAACAAATGAGCTCTTCAGAAATGAAATTTCTGAAGAAGAAATTAATTCGAAAATTATTACTAGCGAAGTATTTTATGCTCTCGAGCTATGAGGCGCCAATATGAAGAGAAATTTGTAATAGAAAAATTCGTTGAAAATCACCAGTGTAATGGGGCATATCAGGAAACACTTCGTAAATTAAAAAAAAAAATAGCCTCATAAAAGTGACATTGAAGAAACAATCAATACATTCATTATTTTATTGCTTTCGCTTGGACATTTTTTGTATCTTTTCATTGAATTATGCTTCGTCACCGCTTTACAAAGAAAATGCAATGAAAAACAAGCTGAAAATATTTAAACAAAAAGCAAAAATAGAATACAGTTTCTTATCCAAAGGAAAACATTTTTTTTAAATAGAAAAAATTAAATCGTAAAAGTGTGCCCAAGTATAGTCCCGATTTTCAACATTTGGTGCATCAAGTCTCGTCGTTGACAAATTGCCCGAAAACTCGGACAGAACAGACCTCCAAAGATTAACTCGAGCGTGTGGTGTCGTAACTTTTCTGTATGGTTTGGTCGTAAAACTGTCTCCTATTATAGGAACTATGTCGCGACAGTGTATTATTTATGTTTGTTGTCCAAGAATCAGTTCTTCCGACCCGAGAATTTTCTGATCTTTTGTCAAATGTTTTTTTTTTTTCTTCATATTTTGAGTTTTAGTATGTTCCATTTTTGAACAACGAAGTGAATGAATTGTATTTACAAACTATCTGCGGCTGTTTGATTGAACAGATTGAATTTGTTCCCACAGAAATGAATGCAATCAATAGATTTTTTAGACGGAAACTCCTACCTTAAAATGCATAGTTTTCATTGGATACTTATTTTTAGAATCAAAGCGATCAAATATTACTTTGAGTATAAAAATGAAACAGATAGTCTTTGAAAATGACTGTAAAACATTCAATACCACGAACTTTAAGAGATTTATCTCTGGCTCAGAAAATGTATCTTTCATAGTAATTGAAACTTGAATTTCCGAAACTTTCATCATTTTTCAATAGATGGCGCCATGAATAAACCTAATGTTCTACAATAATCTAATTATTTTACTAGCGGAGACGGTTGATATTCATTAACAAAAACTGTTGAAATACACTAATTTTCAACGTGAAGAGCAAGAGATGTCGCTTTCAACTAAGCTCATTATTAGAAAGTTCTTTCCTTTGAAAGGTTTTTCGGCGCCTAAATTGAACGCATTACAATGATTCGGATGTTGTATGGATAATATAAAAGATTGCTTTGCTAAATGTTATTAATATGATATAGTGAGATTTTTATTGCTGAATATAGTTTCCATTGTGCAATAATATTGACTATTAGTTAGACGTATATTTTAGGACATATAAAATGGTTTTTTGTAAGTG